CTCTCTCTCTCTCTCTCTCTGTCTCTCTGCCTCTGCCTCTATGTAACTCTGCCTTTCAAATAAATAAATAAATCTTAAAAAAAAAAATAAGTGTATTTGGGGGCCAAAAACCTGGAAATCCAAGCACATGAGGAGTATTCAAAAAGTTCATGGAAAGTGGATGTCATGAAAAAAACTGCATGAATTCCAAATTTTTGCATCAAAATAAATGCATCTGTCTCTTAATTCTGTTTTCCACAAACTCTTTGAAGTGTCCTTAGTTGATCCCATTTGTGTAGCATTCCCCAAAGGATAAAAGTATAGAGGGGAAACAGACTGCTGGTGGCCAGGGGGCAGGGTGGGAGGGCAGGGGGCAAGGTGGGGGGGTGGGGTGGGAGGGGAGGGGGCAAGGTGGGGGGCGGGGTAGGAGGGGAGGGGGCACGGGGGGGCAGGGTGGGAGGGGAGGGGGCAAGGTAGGGGGCGGGGTGGGAGGGGAGGGGCAAGGTGGGGGGGCGGGGTGGGAGGGCAGGGGGCAAGGTGGGGGGCGGGGAGCACGGTGGGGGCAGGTGGGGGGCAGGGTGGGAGAAGAGGGGGCAGGTGTGGCAGGGGAGGGGCTGCAGGAGGGAGAGCTTGATGGTTCTGTTCTGATTGTGCCGATGTTTACACAGACCTGCACACATGATAAAATGACCTACAACTATGCACACAATGTGCCATGTCAATTTCCTGGCTTTGATGTTGTACTATTTAAGATTTTACTGTATTTGCAATTTCCTGGAAAACTATATTGCGAAATACAAAGTTTTTTAAATGGCCTTGGGCAGGCACCGTGGTGCAGCGGGACAAGCTTGGGAGCCCGGCTTCCCATACCCGTATCGGAGTGTCTGGAGTCGAGTTCTACCTCCACTTCCTATCCAGTCCCACTAACGTGCATCCTGGAAACAGCAGGTCCCGGCCACCCACACGGAGACTAGGATTGAATTCGTGGCCCTGGCTTCAGCTTGGTCCAGGCCCTGGCTGTCGGGCATTTGGGGAGTGAACCTGCTGGTAGAAAATTATCTCACTCTCGCTCTGCTTTTCAAATAAATAAAAATAAATTAGCTTTTAAAAATTACCTAAAAGGGGTCGACATTGTGGCGTAGCAGGTAAAGCCAACTGCCTGTGACACCAGCATCCCACATGGGCTCTGGTTCAATTCCTGGCTGCTCCACTTCTGATCCAGCTCCCTGCTGATGCGCCTGGGAGAGCAGCGGAAGATGGCCCAAGTCCTTGAGCCCGGTACCCACATGAGAGACCCAGATGAGGCTCCTGACTCCTGGTTTCAGCCTTGCACAGCCCTGGCCATTGCGACCATTTGGGGAGTGAACCAGCGGATGAAAGACCTCTCTTTCTCTGTCTCTGTCTCTGTCTTTCTCTCTCTCTCTGTCTCCCCCCTCCATAACTCTGTCTTTCAAATAAATAAATCTTTTTTAAAATACCTAAAATTTTAAACAGTGGATTACAGTTCCATCGTAACTCCCTAACTACCCATTTATGCTCTGAAAAGCATTCCTGTAAAGCACTTTGCTGTATTCTGGGGTGAGATGGGAGGATAACGCAGCAGACCAGGATTCGGTGAGAGCTTTGGGGTTTACATTAGAGGTGGGGCCTCACAGAAGAATGGGAGCACAAAGCAGCACCAGGAAAAGACATGGGCAGCACACGCACCGCGGACGGAGGAGCTACAGATCCGGAGGGGAGCACGGGTAACCCGGGGGAAGTGCTCAACAGGCCATTAGGGGCTTCTCAAAAGAGGAAATGCAAACAGCCAGCAGAGCCCGGGCCACAGTTAGGGCCGCAGTCGGCCTAGCGTTTAAGGAGCCACTTGGGACGCCTGCATCCCGTAGCAGAGCGCCTGCTGCTCCACTCCCCATTCCCGCTTCCTGCTGATGCACACCCTGTGAGGCAGCAGGTGAGGCTCAAGCGCTGTGTCCCTGCCACCCGCCTGGGAGACCGGGGTTAAGTCCCCAGCTCTCTGCTTCAGCCCAGCTCAGGCCTGGCATTTGGGGAATGAAATGGTAGATGGGAGTGCTCTCTCCCTCTCGCTCGCTCTCCCCGCCCCCCTGTCTCTCTGCCTCTCAAATAAATAAAAACTAATAATTGTAAAGGGGTGGGTGGCATGTAGCTTAGCCCCACGTCGCAGTACCTGGGTTCAGTGCATGGACTTGGCCCCTGACTCCAGCCATCTGCTAATGTAGGCTCTGAGCAGTAGCAGACGGTGCCTCAAGGGACTGTCAGCTGCCCTGGCCTCCCACTCCTGGCTCCTGGGTCCAGCTCAGGTCTAGCGCCAGCCATTGAAGGCATTTCAGGAGGAAAGCAAAAGGTAGGAGCTCTGTGTGTGTGTGTGTGTGTCCGTCTGTCTCTCTCTCTGTGTATACGTGTCTGCCTCTCAAAAAAAAGTTATTTAAAAGAAATATACAAAACTACAACAAGCTACTTATATCCTCCCATCAGACAGACAAAAATAGCCTGATGGGGGTGTGCGTCTGGTGCAGATGCTAGGACCCCCTTGGGATGCCCACATGCCATACTGGAGCACCTGGGTTCGAGCCTGTTTCTACTTCCAGTTCACCTTCCTGCCAATGCCCCTGGGAGGCAGCAGGAAATGGCCCAAGTGCTTGGGTTCCTGCCACCCACGTGGGAGGCCCAGACGGAGTTTCGGGCCCCTGACTTTGGTAGGACCCAGCCTCAACTGTTGTAGGCCTTTGGGAAGTGAACCAGCAGAAAGAAGTGTTCTCACGCTCTCTCTCTCTCTCTCTCTTTCAAATAAATAAAAATTGATTTAAAAGGTTTTAGAGTCTGCTGATACCAAGTGTTAGGAACGTGGAGCGGGGACCACAACACGCGCTCCTCGTGTCTCAGCAGTTTTATTCCTAGGTTCCAAAACAAACCGACACACAGACAGGCTCATGTGTCCTGAGATACCCAAACATATCGCACCATCGCTCTCTGTAACAGCCCCAACCTGGAAACAAGTCCGTGTCCACCACCAGCAGAACGAGAACCACGAGATCCACTCACTCAGCAGAGGGCAGAGGCAGTGGAGTCCCACAGCAGCCTGGTGGTGACGCCAGCTGTGACAGGCACGGCTGCCCAGGGCGCTGTGTTGTTGGGCAGCAAAACGACAAAGAGGAGCAAGGAAGTGGATACTGGAGAACTCTGGGTGCGGCTGGCAGCTGTGGGGAGCGAGGGCCGTGACCTGGAAGTGGAACGCCACGGGCTGCCCAGAGCAGGTCATGCGCTGCGTGCCGACCTGGGTGGGGCCAGGCAGGTGTTCACCTTACTGTGAGGGGTTCGGGGTGGGGTGCTTTTCTCTTAATTTTTAAGATTTACTTAGTTGAGAAACAAAAAGACAGAGACTATGAGAATGAGCATGCTGCCTCCTGCTAGTTCACTCCCCAAATGCCCACAGAGGACAGGGCTGGCCTGGGCTGGCCTGGGCTGGGACCAGCAGCCAGAAACACTATCCAGGTCTCCCACATGGGCGGCAGGAACCCAACCACTTGAGCCGTCACTGCTGCCTCCCAGGGTCTGCACAGCAGGAAGCTGGAGCCAGGAGCCAGAGCAGGGAAGTGAGCCGAGTGCCCTGCTGTGGGACGCGGGCACCTCAGCGCTGGGCTGAACGCCCTCCCCACAGCAGTCTGCTGAGCTCTAGTTCAGCTCTGTAAACAGCACAGTGTGAACAGTCTTATAGTGCTTTTCTTTTTTTTTTTTTTTATATTTTGCAGGCAGAGTGGACAGTGAGAGAGAGAGACAGAGAGAAAGGTCTTCCTTTGCCGTTGGTTCACCCTCTAATGGCCGCCGCGGCCGGCGCACCGCGCTGATCCGATGGCAGGAGCCAGGTGCTTCTCCTGGTCTCCCATGGACTTGGGCCATCCTCCACTGCACTCCCTGGCCACAGCAGAGAGCTGGCCTGGAAGAGGGGCAACCGGGACAGAATCCGGCGCCCCGACCAGGACTAGAACCCGGGGTGCCAGTGCCGCAGGTGGAGGATTAGCCTATTGAGCCGCAGCGCCGGCCTATAGTGCTTTTCAAAGAAGCTTTAAACAAGTTAGTGTCGTACCTTTTCAGATAAGATTTCACTAATGTTTTCCTCCCAATCAGTGTAAACAATCTCCAAATATCACTCACTGGTCTGATTATGAAGTCTGGGGCACAATTTTGCCCTCTGAAAGCGACTCCTGTATGGGAATCTCTCTTACCAAATCTAGCCTGTTATCTCGTCCTTTGTTCTCCACAAAGATATAAAAACGGGTTGCTGCCATCCATGAACTCTGCCGGACAAACATCAACAGCTTTTGCCTGCAGGCCTGCCTCGTTCCAGGCCTCGCTGTGTTCCTTACTAGAATCCTGCTTGAACGAATGAATGAAATCCACGCTGAACCTTTTCATTCAATCCACATTGTGTTGGAGTAAACCCACTTCAAACTCGCTCCTAGCGCTCTGTGCCTTCCTCAAGTACAAGTCTAGACTCAGGTTAAGGTCCTTCACCACCCGAGGAGCGGTGTAGACCGGGTGACCGGCCTCGGCTGACTCCTCTTGGCCAGTGTGCTGCAGACACAACTGCACACGCACACAGGCACATGCAGCCATTTGATCAATCAGTGGCCCTAAGTTGTCACTGCCCCCGAACCCTGGCATACGCTTGGCCACCTCCCGGCTCTCTGCCCCAGCACTGTTGGCAGCGGCGCTGTCCTGTGCACTACTAGGGTGCGGCAGCATCCCAGGCCCCACCCACTAGATGCCAATGGCGCCCTTCCACTGCCCCCACCTCGGAGTGGTGACCACCATCACCGTTCCCACTGCCAGATGTCCCTCCGTGACCTCCATAACTGTGACCACTGTCATTGTCTCTATTGCCAAATGTGCCCTGGCCCTGGGAGTGAAGCTGATCTTGCTTCATGACCTTTTTGGAGCTTAGAAGAACATTTTTCCTTTACGCTAGGAAGAGCCCTGCCTGGGCAGAGCTCCACGCGTCTTACGTTGCTTGAAGATGTACAGGAGTTTCTTCCTGCTCCGCTTGGCCAGAGAGAAATGGAGCACAAGGAAGAAGACCAGGAACAGCACCGCAGCCCACGTCAGCGCCAGGAGGAAGGGGATGACCTGTGGACTGTGCCCTGCGAAAGAGCAGAGGGGAGAGCTGTGCAGACGCACTCCAGCCGACGCACGCACGCTTGCACCCACACCGGAGACTCCTAAGCGCCCTAGGAGGCAGCGCCGTGGGCATCTCCAACCTGCTAACTTAGTGACCTTGAAAAGTTTTTAAAAAGACTTGATAGGTTTCTGGGAAGCCCACAAAAATTAAGCGGCTTTGCCCTTCTAAAGTAAGTATGGGGCTCGATAATCCCCTAATGACATTTATTAATAATTAATAAAGTGGGGCCCTGCATTCACATTCCTGGACCCCATCTGGGCTGAGTCTCAGCTTACGCTGCTTCCTCGTGTGTACGTCAGGCTGAACGGCAAATGCCAGAGACCAGGTGGATTTCTGAAGGCAGAGTGCCAGAAGGTGCATCGGGGTGCACACCGCAGGCGGAGATGCCAGACATCACCAGGGGCAGCCGTGCCACACCCGCTCTGACTGGAGCAGTAAGGCAGCTTCCGGGCTCACCTGCAGGCGGAGGCGGAGGCGAGGTGGTGGAGGAGGCACCTGGAGAGAAGCCGGGCGCGGTCGGTCCGCAGACCACATCGCTGTCCTTGGTCCCATTCGCAAGCACAGGCCTCCCACCTGAACAGCTTAGAGAGGCCAAGGAACAGAGTGCAAGTGATCAAGGTGCGGAAGACTCCAGTGAAACCTTTGACATCACCTACCGATGAGGCAGCCTGGGACAAAGATCTGTGGGCCTGGGGTCACAGGCCACGGGAGGACATTCTGAAACGCTTTCACGCGAGTGTCTGGCTTCCTTCAGCTTCCACTCGGCTCACCCCACCCGACCTCCTAACTGGGTCCTTCCTTCTTTCCAGTCCTGGTAGCCATACTGGGCTCCTTCTGTTTCCATGACGACAGAATGAAGGCTGGAGTCTCTCACCTCCAACTTCTCACTCATATTTGACCATCTCTGGTACACATGAAGGAATGTGTAAGTTATGGATTCTGGTATTAGCTTCAGAAAAATCAGGATTTGAGTCTGGGCCTGCCACTTGACAAGTGACCTTGGGCAAGCTGTGATATGTCACTCATCTACAAAACAAAGCCTGCCCCTGCTCCTGGGCCCATGGTGAAAGACAAATGAATGAACCCCAGTGACATATTTGTATATGGCCGACACACTCCATAGAGGGTAGCTGTTATCATCACTCTCACCACCATTATCTCCATCATCATCATCCTATCACCATCACCTCATCATTACATCACCATCATCATCATCATTATATCACCATCACCATCATCACCATTGTCATGAACATCATTCTCACCCCCACCATCATCAACACCATCACCATCATCGTCACCACGAGCATTATCATACACCATCACCATCATCACCGTCACTATCACCATCATCACCGTCATATCACCACCATCACCACCATCATCACCACCATCATCACCATCATCACCACCATCATCACCACCATCATCACCATCATCACCACCATCATCACCATCATCACCACCATCATCACCATCATCACCTTCATCGTCACCATGGGCATTATCATACACCATCACCACCATCACCATCATCACCATCATATCACCATCGCATCATTACATCACCACCAACATCACCATCGTAACCATCCTCACCACCATCAGCACCCCACTCACCATCATCTTCCTCACCAGTGCTGTTGCTAGGCCTTCCCTCTGCCCTTTAGCTGTCCTCTAAAGCCCAGCTCACCCGCTCTCAGGCAGGCTCACCTATGCCCTCTGAACAGCTCCAGTCTGTTATAAACCAACCCATTTGCAAAGTATAATAAAAATTATTTTCTAGTAAGAAAATCAAAGGGAAAAACAACAAAGGCATAGAAAACATGAGGCCCAAATTCTTAGAACTAGTGTTGACCGACCGCAGGGCTGCACTAATCTGCCCAAAAGGTCTCCTTACGCTCACTTTTCACACCTGTACCGGTGCCGCCTCGGAGGGGCAACACAGGGCCCGAGGCTAGCACCTGTCCTCAGGGCACAGTCTGAGCAGCTGCGGTGCAGATCCCACAAGCCAGCAGTCACGCTGTCCTAGCTTTTCACCTTCTGTGGTGGCCGGGTACACCGGGATGCATGGCGTAGTCAGAAAGTAAGAGGCATACTTGACCCTTCTGTGTCACTCCCAGTGAACACATGAGAATGGGCTAGTCAGCGGGGAAGGCAAGAGGCAGCCAAGAAAGCGAGAAGGAAACAGAACAGAGACCAGCCGAGGTGGAGGGGGCAGACCCTCGCTGGGAAATCTCAGTGCTTTGGGAGTTAGTTCTGGGGAAAGTGACTACTCTGCCCCAACACTCCTAATAGTGCGTCCTATAGGTCTAGAGCTTCAGTTCTTCCGGTTCTTTAAAAAAGTTTGACTCAGAGCCTTTATCATGTAAGCAGAGGGGAATTGGCATTCGTTAACATAAGGAAGTAATACCTACTTTGTCCAGGGTTGACAGATGCCACCTTTCTGGTTGTTAAAGGAGCCAAAGGGACAGTCTTTGCAACCTTGCATGAAAATTAAAACAGTAACAAAATAAGCATTTTCTCCATTTCAAAACTGCTCCTGCAATGGACTGGACATAGTAAAGTCGCTAACATGCTACAGCCTGCACAAACTGTTCAACAATTCTTAAAATAAAACCCTAAGATTCTTGGCTTTTATTCTTCCTTCGAGCATTTTATGTGTCTAGAATATGTGAAGATGCATGGTTTTGGTCATTAATCAATGTTCTGGTTTCCACATAGGAAAATAATGGAAATGTTTTCCTGATTAAAATATGATATTACTACCAGGCGCTCAACGCAATGATTCATTACTTATTACTTTAAGGCTCTACAAATCTACTTTTTACTTTCTGTTCAAAGGATGAAGACCTAAGCTAATGACGTGTTTATATATGAACTTGGGCCAGATTACGAGGAACAAACCTACCCTCCTTTGTGAACTCTTGACCTTGCTCACAATCCTGTTCACACATGCTGCATCCCGGCCCCAGGCAGTGGAACCCGGCAATGCATTCACACTCGGTGTCACTGGTCGGGGAGCACGGCCTCTTGGTCCTGAAAACACCTGCAAAACCCCAAGCACACTGTGACCCTCGACCTCCCAATCCGGATACATCCTGATGCGTGATGCTCACTCTCCTTATAGCTTCCTGGTGACTTCTGAATGCAACATTTACTGAAGACCTTTTTAGACTTTTGCAGTTAGAAGCCTCTGTCGCAGGAGGCGTGTTTGGCCTGGGGGTGGGGGGGGGGATGTCCACACCCCACACTAGAGTGCCTGAGCCTGAGGCCCAGCTCTGCTCCCAACTCCAGCGTCCTGGCAGTGGGGGTGGCTCAAGGGGTTGGATTCCTGCCTGCCACAGGGGAGTGACACGGATTGAGTTCTAGCTCTCACTTTCAGCCTGGCCTACTTTTGACTGCTGCAAGTATTTGGGGAGTGAACCAGGGTATAAAACTAGCTCTCAGGGCCAGCGTTTGGCACACTAGGTTAATCCTCTGCCTGTGGTGCTGGAATCCCATATGGGCGCCGGTTCTAGTCCCAGCTGTTCCTCTTCCAGTCCAGCTCTCTGCGGTGGCCTGGGAAAGCAGTAGAAGATGGCCCAAGTCCTTGGGCTCCTGCACCCATATGGAAGACCAGCAAGAAGCACCTGGCTCCTGGCTTCAGATCGGCGTAGCTCCAGCCATTGCAGCCATCTGGGGAGTGAGCCAACGGAAGGAAGAGCTTTCTCTCTGTCTCTCTCTCACTGTCTGTAACTCTACCTGTCAAATAAATAAATAAATAAAATCTAAAAAAAATTTTAAAAAGCTAGCTCTCTTTTTCTCTCTCCGCCTCGGAAGTAAATAAATAAATAATTTAAAATGTTTCATTCCCAGGGCAGGCATAATGGTTCAGTGAGTTGAGATACCACCTGGGATGCCTGCATTCCATACTGGAGTGATGGTTCGAGTCCTGGTTACTCTTCCAATCCGGCTCCCTGCTAATGTGCTTGCGAACCAGCAGATGATGGCTCAAGTCCTCGAGTCTCTGCCACCCACATGGGAAACTCAGATGGAGTTCTTGGCTCCTGGCTTTAGCCTAGCCCAGCCCTAGCTGTTGTGGCTATCTGGAGAGTAAACCAATGGGTGGAAGATATCTATCTATCAATCTATATCTCTCTTTCTCTGTCACGCTGCCTTTCAAATAGTAAGTAAATAAATCTCCAAAACATTCATTCTCCACTGAAAAAAGAACTTCTCTCATCAAACAAATGTTTCCCCTAATATTTAACAAGCTCAATCTATAAGTAATCGCATTATTCTATTTTGCTAGAACTGCCCATTGACAGGGGAATCAATATCACTGATGCTTGAGATTTTCAGTAGAGACCAGTCAGTAAGCAGGGAATAAACACTTCTCTTTCCTGATGAACAGCATCACGTCTTTTGAAATCGTACCTTCACAGCGCCTGCACAGCACACAGGTCCGCTGTCCACTGCCACAGGAGAGGCTATTGGGAGGACAGGGAACAAAAATCGGATTCCTGCTTTTCCCACAGAAAGTACCTAAAAAAAAGCAGAAAACAGCTGTGCATGTTTGACAATGGATGACCGTCACTCAAAGTATTATGACATTTCAAGAAAATTAGAATAAAATAAAAAGATTCCTTTTCTGTAGGTCACAGTGATAAACATTTTGTTGACTGCTTTTTTGAAATTACACATTTGCAAGATTTTGCTTAGCGTAATCACAGACTTAGAAACAATGTATGTACACATATATAGATACATACAATTTAAAATCAATTTTGCGAGGGAATGTTTTCACCATCTATGAGTAAAACTGAATGGTTCTCTTGACTATCCAGGAGCCCACCATGAGTGGGTCCAAGGGGAGCCCAATGGCCCTGGACGGTTCACTGGAAATGACACGTGCCTGACTTCTCCCACCGTGAAGCCCTCTGCACCTGCCGGCCCCCTGCCGTGCCCACAGTCTGAGCACAGGGGCTCGGACACAGAACCAACGTTCATCGAGGTCCTGGGGTGTGCCCGGCTCCCCTTTCGGGGGACCTTCCTTGAGGTCCTAAGAGACAGGTTCTCTCGTGATCCCCAGGCACAGGAGGTTCACCGATGTGGCTGTGTTCACACAACCAGTGTGCAGCATCCCATACACACGTACAAGTGAAGGAAGGAAAGGTCACGGCACAGGAGGGCTTCAGCCCTGGGCACTGACAGACGCACGTTCTCCCCAGAGCAGACCAGGGTGCCCGTTAGCCCGGTACTCACCAGCTGGGCAGTTAGCACAGGGTCCCTGCACCGATCTCGCTCTCTCCACGTTCATGACCAGCAGCACGGCTGCCACCATGTTGTAGTAGCTGCCTCCCATGATGAAGTCTTGCATAGAGCGGACACGAGCAGAGCCCCAGAGGATTCCACTCAAAGGAGTTGGTCTCACAAATGTCCCTCTGCAAAAGGCAAAAATCCCAGGGCTGAGGTGGTTTCTCCTTTCAGAATTATCTGCATTCCAACCACGATCTGTTCTCATATTCCATAGGACCATCACTCGGACGATGACGGAATGATACAGAAAAGCAGCAAATTCACAGACACGACCTGTAGTTTTGTGCATGCCTGCCAGTGTAGACACGACCTGTAGCCTCGTGCACGCCTGCCAGTGTAGACACGACCTGTAGCCTCATGCACGCCTCCCAGTGTAAACACGACCTGTAGCCTCGTGCATGCCTGCCAGTGTAGACACAACCTGTAGCCTCGTGCACACCTGCCAGTAGACACGACCTGTAGCCTCATGCAGGCTTGCCAGTGTAGACACGACCTGTAGCCTCGTGCAGGCTTGCCAGTGTAGACACGACCTGTAGCCTCGTGCATACCTCCCAGTGTAGACACAACCTGTAGCCTCATGCACACCTGCCAGTGTAGACACGACCTGTAGCCTCGTGCACGCCTGCCAGTGTAGACACGACCTGTAGCCTCATGCACACCTCCCAGTGTAGACACAACCTGTAGCCTCGTGCACACCTCCCAGTAGACATGACCTGTAGCCTCATGCACGCCTCCCAGTGTAGACACGACCTGTAGCCTCGTGCAGGCTTGCCAGTATAGACACGACCTGTAGCCTCGTGCAGGCTTGCCAGTATAGACACGACCTGTAGCCTCGTGCAGGCTTGCCAGTATAGACACGACCTGTAGCCTCGTGCACGCCTGCCAGCCAGTGCGATTCCCAGCAGTCCTGCCCAAATGCAGAAATAACCACGGCAAGGGTGCCAGCTGCCCCACAAGGGAGTCCTCAGGAGAGGGTCTCGGTGGCCCCCAGAGGCCCCCTTCGGTGAGAAGCAGTGTCGTGACCTCTGCTCCCCTAGCTGAGCTCTCGGCTCTCCTGCTCATCACATTTGTCTTAAATGGAGACCCAGGCTTGCCTGCTGCGGCATTTGAAGCCCGTGTTCCAGCAAAACTAAGGAATGTGAACGTCTCCTCAGCCAGGGTCTCGATCTTTAAGAGGAGCTGTGACCACGAGAAGGCAAGAAGCAGGGTAGAGATGTGTCAGGGAGCCCAGCCACTGCGCTCTCCCCACCCAGTCCCCTCACCCCCGTCCACCCCAGACGGACAAACCTGGAGACCCCGGGGCTTCCGAGGACGCTCCGCTCCTCGCTGTCCAGGGTGTTCTGCTGCTGAGGACGGCTGCAGGTCAGACCCCGGGACCGGTGACTCAGCCGGGGCGGAGCCTCGTGGGAAGTCCCCGCCACGATTTCCTCCTGTGAAGTGGTTTGTTTGATATTTTCTGACCCTGAAATCCCCCAGAGCCCCTGCACCCTCTTGATAATGGCACTTCTGACCGTTTCTTGGAATCATCTCTGTCACTGGGACGTTGTCCAGAGGACTTCGGGAATGGAAATCGGTTGCTGACAGTAGCTCTCTGTGCAAAGCTTGTAGAATGTCCTTAAAGTATCTGAGAATCAAGAGAAGAAACCTGCCGTACTAACCCCATAATCCCAGCGGTGCCGTAGCGAGCGTCCCTTAGGTACAGCGGAGGTCCCAGGTCCCGCTGTGGTCACTCCTGGGGCAACATTACACACGCGGGCAAACTGAGGCTGCAGGTCTGCTCAGACAGCAGGACAGAGCCGCGGGGCCCTGGACAGCCCGGTCCTGTTCACTGTGCTCCTTGCCGTGCAGGGGAGACAGGGGCCGGGGCACAAGATGGAGAGACAGAGGCGAGGGAAGAGTAGCATTTACATGACTGAGTGGGGGAAACCTGCGAGGGATTTTTAGAAAGTCACGATCTCAAATTTTAAAATATCTGCATTTGAGAGACAGACAGACAGACACATAAGAAAGTGAGCTCCTGTGTGCTGGTTCACCCCCACGTGCCCACAACGCTGGGTCTGCGAGCTCAGGCCACGTCTCCCACGTGGGGGGCAGGCACCCAGCTACTGGAGCCCCCTCTGCCACCTCCCAGGGTCTGCATGGCAGGAAGCTGGAGCCGGAAGCTCAAGGCAGGGGTCAGCCCAGGGGCTCTGATGTGGGATGCAGGGGCCTTAAACGTTAGGCTAAACACCTACTGCTCTCAGATGTTTTTAAAGAAAAATGTGGAGGAAGAAGAGGCCAGAAAGAAGGCAGAAGATGAGGAGGAGGAGGAGGAGGAAGGGGAGGAGGAAGGGGAGGCTGCTTCAGGGACTCAAAGGGGAACCTGTCAAGTGCGAGTGGCCAAGACCGTCAGGACCACCAGCACGGCCATCCCATATGGGCGCCATTCTAGTCCCGGCTGCTCCTCTTCCGATCCGGTTCTCTGCTATGGCCTGGGAAAGCAGTAGAAGATGGCCCAAGTCCTTGGGCTCTGGCACCTGTGTGGGAGACTGGGAAGAAGCTCCTGGCCCCTGGCTTCGGATTGGCTCAACTCCAGGCATTGCAGCCATTCAGAGAATAAACCAGTGGATGGAAGATTTCTCTCTCTGCCTCTACCTCTCGGTAACCCTGCCTTTCAAATAAATAAATAAATAAATCTAAAATAGAAAAAAAAAAGTGCGCAATTGGGTGGATCTTAGTGTGTTCACCACCCCTATCCAATTCCAGACTTTTCCACCGGTCAAAAAGAAATCCCGAAAAAGCCATTGTAATTCATAAACTGTACTTTGGAAATTTATATTTATTAAATAAAAGTTAAAAAAAAGAGGAAAAAAAAAAAAGAAATCCCATGCCCGTCAGCAGTCACTCCCATTCTCCTGTCCCCCGGCGCCCACGCCCACTAATCTGCTTCCTGTCCCTTGCCTGTTCTGAACATTTCATAAAGAGGCAGTCACACGCGGCCAGTCTCGTGGTGCTGCGCTAAGCCGCTGCTTGCAACGTTGGCATCTCTTATTGGAGTGCCAGTTCAAGTCCCTGCTGCTCCGATTCCACCTGATGTGCCTGTGAAGGCAGCAGATGATGGCCCAAGTATTTGGGTCCCTGTCACCAATGTTGGAGACCAAGGTGGATGGAGTTTCTGGCACCTGGCTTTGGTTTGACCCAGAGTTGGCCATTGCCGCCATCTGAGAGATGAACGAATGGATGGAAGAGCTCTCTCTTTCTCTCTCTTTTCTGTCACTCTGCCTTTCAAATAAATAAATAAATCTTTTTAAAAACGCAGTCATATAATATGTGGTCTGTCAGTACTTCATTCCTTTCCATGGCTGAATAAATAGTGCATTGTGTGCATAAACCTCATATTGTTTATCCATTCCTCAACTGATGGACATTTGGACTATTTCCACCTTTGGCTACTTTTTTTTTTTTTTTTTTTCATTTTATTTGAAAGGAAGAGAGATGGAGACGGACAGAGAGACTCTTCCATGCACTGGATCGCTCCCCAGGTGGTTGCAACAGCCAGGGCAGAGCCCGCCTGAAGCCAGGAACCCCGCACGGAATCTGATCTCTCACATGGCGGCAGGAACCCAAGCGCTTGAGACACCACCTGCTGCTCCCCAGGGCGCATGTCAGTGGGCAGCTGGACTCAGGAGGGGAGCTGGGCTTCGAAGCCAGGCTCAAATACGCCCGCCCTCTGGCTGTTACGGATAACATCGCTGTGGACAGATGAGTGCACGTTTTTGTGTAGACATACATTTTCAGAGGCAGCACGGGGGAGGAGCGTGGCTGTGTTCACTTTGCAGGCAGTCACAGGCTGTTTTCCACTCGGCTGCACCATTTCACATTCACACCAGCAAGGAACGGGGTTTAAATTTCCCCACATCGTGTTAACACTTGGTACTTTCCCATTAGAAAAAAAACTCCTGGCCACCTCAGTGGGTATGAAGTGGGATTTCATGGTGGCTTTGACTTGCTACCCTTAATCCCTGGTTTTACCACACACACACACAATGTGAGCACACACGCGTGGGCACACACACACACACACATGGGCACGCACGTGCCCTACGTACCAGAAGCAGTAGGGTTTAGCACTGTGGTTCGGAGCCCACACAGGCAGACCTAGGCTGAATCTAGGCTCTGCCATTTGAGGCTGGGTAACCTTTGAGCAGGCGTCTGCACCTCTGTAGGCTCACTTTTTCCGACCCTCACAGGAACAGGAACACCGTAAGCCACCCCATTTAGTGACGACCGAGTGAAACAATGAACTTTAAGCTCTTAGCTCACTGCCTGGTACGCAGCTCTCAAGACAACAGCGACTGCTACGACGAGACCTCGTGTGTTCAAGGTCCCTTCCCACCCTTGGCGGTCAGTCAGGCTGGGCAGGGCGGGGCAGGGAGGGCCGCAGGAGGGGAAATGCACTCACACTGTGAGGGCTGCTGAGAGTCCCTCTACCTAGGCCACTTCGGGGTGCCCATCCCCAGCGTGGACAGAATGGGCTACTGGAAGAACATTGCCCCCCAGAACGGAGGCTGCCACGTGGGAGGCCCAAATCCCACATCACGGAGCCTGGATTCAGTCCTGGCTCCACTTCCAATTCCAGCTTCTTGCTGATGCAAACCCTGGGAGGCAGGGGGAGATAGCACAAGTACTTGGGTCCCTGCTGCCCACACGGGAGACCTGGACTGGGACATCTGGAGAGTGAGCCGGTGGACGGAAGGGGTTTGCCTCTCTCTGCCTCCCATATAAAAAATAAACTCAAAGCTTTTTGAAAAAAAAAAAAGAGACCGCTGATCATCTTCTAACACTTTCAACGTCACCATCTAACCAGGGGACCACCTCATTTACATGTGGTATCCTGTGTTTAATACTGCAACGTGCCATTTCACAGACTGAATATTTAACCGCATGCTACTCACTCATCCACGTTTCTGGATAGGCTGTGGGCAGAGCGACTCCTCCTCTGCAGGTGACGTAGCTCATTTCCCAGCACAGCAATTACTTCACTTTCTCAAGGTTGTACGCCAAGTGCCACAGAAGTCTTCACTGAGCTAGGAGATTCTCAAGATTAGATCTTCCAGCCAAGAGTAAGACGAAAGCAACCACTTCTGAATTATTCTACCCAAGGAAGCGCTCGACCACATGTAGGCTTTTAAAGAGCTCACATTGCTGAATTTTGTGTGATAAAACCATCATGGTCAGCTAAGGCAAATTCTATGGCTACCCAGATTTATCTATTGTCTAAGCTAGCAACGGGTGTGAAATTCTTTTAGTATGATTTTCATTTGTTTCAAAATAAGTGTGACACGGGGCCAGCACCGTGGCTCACTTGGTTAATCCTCCACCTATGGCGCCAGCACACCGGGTTCTAGTCCCGGTCGGGGCGCCGGATTCTGTCCCAGTTGCTCCTCTTCCAGTCCAGCTCTCTGCTGTGGCCCACGAGGGCAGTGGAGGATGGCCCACGTGATTGGGCCCTGCACCCGCATGGGAGACCAGGAAGAGGCACCTGGCTCCTGGCTTCGGATCGGCGCAGCACCGACTGTGGCGGCCATTTGGGGAGTGAACCAATGGAAGGAAGACCTTTCTCTCTGTCTCTCTCTCTCACTGTCTGTAACTCTACCCATCAAATAATATATATATATATATATATATATATATATATATGACATTGCATTTTCCCCTTTAGCGCTCTGATCTCTCAAGCGCAAGCAAAAATTCATCCCTTCCAGAAAACCTTCCCAAATGAGATGACACACTCCCAACAAACCATCAACAACACTTCAGCAGCATGAGTTGTATCTGTGTCATCACTTTCTCAACACCCCAGTCCACACAAAGGAGCAGATTCTGCCCAGTTTTTAGGGACTATGGGCCTCATGTTGAGTTTCTCCAGCGAATACACTTGACCCTAAACTGCAAACATGACAAAGAAGACACTTGCAAGGAGGAAGAGAGACAGCCTCTCTAAAGAGCTGTCCTGGGCCGGCGCCGCGGCTCACTAGGCTAATCCTCCGCCTTGCAGCGCTGGCACCCCGGGTTCTAGTCCCGGTCAGGGTGCCGGATTCTTCCCGGTTGCCCCTCTTCCAGGCCAGCTCTCTGCTGTGGCCCGGGAGTGCAGTGGAGGATGGCCCAAGTGCTTGGGCCCTGCACCCCATGGGAGACCAGAAGAAGCACCTGGCTCCTGCCTTCGGATCAGCGCGGTGTGCCAGCTGCAGTGCGCCAGCCGCGGCGGCCATTGGAGGGTGAACCAACGGCAAAGGAAAACCTTTCTCTCTGTCTCTCTCTCACTGTCCACTCTGCCTGTCAAAAAAAAAAAAACAAAAACAAACAAACAAAAAAAAAAACAGTATGACCGAATTTGATTCTGATTAAAATACTTTTGAGAGGTAGAGAAAGGCAGAAAAAAGGGCACTCCTGTCTGCTGGTTCACATCTCAGACGCCTGCAGTAGCCAGGGTTGGGCCAGTGGAAGCCAGGAGAAGGGACTGCAACCTGGGACTCCTCAGGGGTGGCAGGAACCCGATTACTGGAGCCCCCACTGCTGCCTCCAGGGTCTGCACTGGCAGGAAGCTGGAGTCAGGAGCCTGAGCCAGGATTGAAGCCAGGTGGGGCGCAGGCAGCTTAGCCATTCAGGCAGAGTCTGTCCCTGTACATGATCCTTCATGGACTAACAATGTCTCAGGGATAAAAACACACAGAACTCCTCAATTACCATTTATTTGCTCTGTACAGTCATCTTCCTCACTCTCATTTCATGTGTTATAATGGAGAGTATCACATAATTTGTGTTTTGTGGACAGTAATGACAAAGAATTAAAAAATAAAATATAGTTACATCAAATATATACAGATATACGGAATTTATATGTATTTAATATAAACTATGAATGTAAGTATGTAGATCTTAAGAAAAATTGTTTTTCATGTTTGTTTTTAAAGTTATTTTTCTTTCTTTCTTTCTTTTTTTTTTTTTTGACAGGCAGAGTGGACAGTGAGAGAGAGAGAGAGAAAGGTCTTCCTTTGCCATTGGTTCACCCTCCAATGGCTGCCGCGGCCGGCACGCTACGGCCGGCGCACCGTGCTGATCCGAAGGCAGGAGCCAGGTGCTTCTCCTGGTCTCCCATGGGGTGCAGGGCCCAAGCACTTGGGCCATCCTCCACTGCACTCCCGGGCCACAGCAGAGAGCTGGCCTGGAAGAGGGGCAACCAGGACAGAATCTGGCGCCCTGACTAGAACCCGGTGTGCCGGCGCCGCAGGCAGAGGATTAGCCTATTGAGCTGCAGCGCTGGCCGCTACTCCACTTCTGATCCAGCTCCCTGCTAATGCATCTGGGAAAGCAGCAGCAGATGACCCAAGTGCTTGGACTCCCGCACCCACGTGGAAGACCTGGAAGAATCTCCTGGCTATGGATTGGCTCAGCTCTGGCCATTGCGGCCATGTGGGGAGTGAACAAGCAGATGGAAGATCTCTTTCTCTGTCTCTGTCTGTCTCTATAACTCTTTCAAATAAATAAAATAAGTTTTAAAAATAAATGTAAAATATAATACAAAGGGAATCAACTACCAAATAGAATTTTAAATTTTTAAAAAATACGTTGGCGGCCGGCGCCGTGGCTCAATAGGCTAATCCTCCACCTTGCGGCGCTGGCACACCAGGTTCTAGTCCCAGTCAGGGTGCCGGATTCTTCCCGGTTGCCCCTCTTCCAGGCCAGCTCTCTGCTGTGGCCAAGGAGTGCAGTGGAGGATGGCCCAGGTGCTTGGGCCCTGCACCCCATGGGAGACCAGGAGAAGCACCTGGCTCCTGGTTTCAGATCAGCGCGGTGTGCCGGCTGCAGCACGCCAGCCACGGCGGCCATTGGAGGGTGAACCAACGGCAAAGGAAAACCTTTCTCTCTGTCTCTCTCTCACTGTCCACTCTGCCTGTCACAAAAAAAAAAAAAAAAAAAATTTTGTTGGCAGAGAGACAGATCTTTCATCTGCTGATTCAGTCCCCAATGCCCACAATGACCGGGGCTGGGCTAGGATGAGGCCAGGAGCCAAGAACTCCATCCAAGTTTCCCACCTGAGTGGCCGGGACCCAAGCCCTGGAGCCATCACCGGCTGCCCCCCAGGGTGTGAAGTAGCAGGAAGCTGGAATCAGGAGTGGGGCCAAGACTGGAACCCAGACCTGATGTGGATTCAGGGATCCCAAGTGGTGTCTTCACGCCTGTGCCAAATGCCTGCCCCTATCAAACAGCAATTTTAAAACCAACTCATCATGTGGTAATACATGAACTTCTTCATTAACACGTACCTGTCATGACTTGAAATTACTCGAGTCTAAGTGGCATTTTTGGAGTCCCTGTGAGAACCGTAAAGTGATGTGACGGTGACTGATTTCTGGGGGGGTGGGGGGGTGGGGGGGGGAAGCCGCGTGTACCATAGCCTCGGCTGCGCTTTGTGAGTTTTGCATTCAAAGGGGCAGAAAACGCTAGATTTCGTAAGGGTTAGTGAAATCAAAGGCGGCCCCTTTCGTCCCAGTTCAGAGGATGCCTGAATTTTGTCTGTGCCTGCCCGGGCGCCTGGGCACTGCGCGGGCTCAAGCCCCAGATGGAGTCAGCGCTGCTAGTGCGTTTGCCAGTGGTGTCAGCCCTGGGAACTCGGTCTCCCTCCAGGAAGAGCTACTTCCACTTCATTGCCTCCGACTCTGTCACTGCCTCTATCTTCAGACAAAGGCCCCTTTTACACCCGAGCTTCCCCTCCTCACCTTCACCGCGACGCCCCTCTGGGCTTTCTGGCAACAGCTATCCACAGGGGCTGCCCTGCAGACGCCACACCGAACACTTCGTATTTGATTTGCCTCTTCTCTCTGTGAGGCAGAACGGTTCCTGTTCTAACCTGGAGGGAAGAGAAACCGAGGGAACTCCAGGACCCCAGCAAGGACCAGTGGAAGCATCGGTGTCTATACAGGCTTTGCCTCCCCTGCCTCCTCCACCTCACAGTCAGCCTTTGAGGTGCGCAGGTCCTGTGAGCCCTGTCTGCAGACGGGGGACCTAAGACGTCAGGGAGAAACAGGGTGTCAGGCTCACTTGGCTGGCGTGGGCCATACCTGGGTTAGACCCAGATGGGCTGGGGGCAGAGAATACTCGTTCCCACCCACCTTCTCCTGGGCAGAGAGAGGCCACGGCTGGAACCCAGGTCTTCTCCCTCCACAGCCGCCTGAACACGCGGCCAGGAGCTACGACTGACTCAGAAGCTACTCCCCGTGGTTGGTTCCTGTGAATGAATAGAAAGACGTGCTGAGTCAGCCGCCATGAATGAGACTGAAGGCAGCGGTCGGGGAGCTGAGTGGGAAACCACACCGGATCTCATCTATGTGAATGACTGCCAGAGACCCAAGGTCAAGGTCACCTTCGAGATATGTGACAAGCAGCACAACTGACAGCCTTCCAGTAACCACTTTTAGAGGGTACTAGGCGGATCTCTCTTTTTTAATATTTATTTATTTGAAAGTCAGAGTTACACAGAGAGAGAAGAGAGAGAGAGAGAGAGAGAGAGAGAGAGAGAGAGGTCCTCCATCCGATGGTTCACTCCCCAATTGGCAGCAACAGCCGGAGCTGCACCCATCTGAAGCCAGGAGCCAGGAGCTTCTTCCAGGTCTCCCATGTGGTGCAGGGGCCCAAGGACTTGGGCCATCCTCTACTGCTTTCCCAGGCCACAGCAGGGAGCTGGATTGGAAGTGGAGCAGCTGGGTCTCGAATCTGTGCCCATATGGGATGCTGGCGCTTCAGGCCAGGGCGTTAACCCACTGTACCACAGTGCCAGCCCCATAGGCTAACCTTAAAACAACAGCGGCCATCTGGGGAGTGAACCATCGGATGGAGGACCTCTCTGTCTGTCTGTCTGTCTGTCTCTCTCTCTCTGCCTCTCCTCTCTCTCTGTAACTCTGACTTTCAAATAAATAAATCTTAAAAAAAAAAAAAAAAACGAACAAACATGTACGTGCAAACAAACCCAAAACTATTAAATAAGCAAGTCTTCTGTACTGGGAACTTCTGGAGAGAGCTGGGACACACGCTGCTACAGGGGAATGCCTCCTTTGGGCTGCCCGGGACACTCGTGACAGAGCAGTATCACCCCCAAAGGGACGTGACTGGGCAGATGCTCCGCCTGTGGGGTACCAGCTCCCCACCCCTGGCATTCATCTGGGGCACCCGGAAGGCAGTGCTATTAACTTCAGTAAGTACGCAAATCGTATCCAACTGCTTCATGAACGCAGCTTTTGTCAGCTAACACTCAGTATTTTTTTAAAGATTTATTTTATTTATTTGGAAGGCAGAGTCAGAGAGGAAGGGAGGGAGGGATGGAAACGAGAGAGAGAGAGACAGAGAGAGAGAGCGCGCCTTCCATTTGCTGGTTCACTCCCTAAATGGTCAAAACAGCCAGGAGCCTGACACTCATCAGCTTTTCACAAGTAGGTGCAGGGGCCCAGGTACTTGTCCATCCTCCACTGCTTTCCCAGGTGCGTTCGCAGGGATCTGGATCAGAAGTGGAGCAGCCGGGATTTGAACCAGCACCACAGCTGCTTATCCAGCTGTGCCACAGCAGCCCCAACATTCAGTATTACTCCTCCACATAAGAAGACAACATCAGGAGACGCACTTTGTTTCTTTGTGATATCTTAAACAGTAACCACTATCAGCTACCGAGTAACTTCACTCACAAATCATTCTGGTTCTCCTTCCACAAAACCTGTCTCCTGTTCTCTTGGGTTCCCAGGATGATGGAAGAGCGGGGCGTAAACCATTGGCGCTCATTAAGATTCCTTTTCCAGTTAAATGTTGCTGCGCTGAGAGTTCCAGAGTTCCTGTTAAGTTGTAAAGACTTCACGTATGACCCTGTGGTCATACACACACACACACATGTATGACCCTGTGGTTATATACACACATATGACCCTGTGGTTATATACACACATATGACCCTGTGGTTATATACATACACACATATGACCCTGTGGTCATACATACACACACATATATGACCCGTGGTTATACACACACACGTATGACCTGTGGTTACATACATACACACATATGACCTGTGGTTATATATACACAAATGTATATGACCTGTGGTTATATACATACACACATATGACCCTGTGGTTATACATGCACACACGTATGACCTGTTGTTACATACACACACACATATGACCCTGTGGTTATACATGCACACACGTATGACCTGTGGTTATATACATACACACATATGACCCTGTGGTTATACATACACACACGAATGACCTGTGGTTATATACATACACACATATGACCCTGTGGTTATACATGCACACACGTCTATGACCTGTGGTTATATACATACACACACGTCTATGACCTGTGGTTATATACATACACACATATGACCCTGTGGTTATACATGCACACACATATATGACCCTGTGGTTATATACATACACACATATGACCCTGTGGTTATAGATGCACACACGTATATGACCTGTTGTTATATACATACACACATATGACCCTGTGGTGTTATACATACACACACGTATGACCTGTGGTTATACATACACACTCGTATGACCTGTTGTTATATACATACACACATATGACCCTGTGGTGTTATACATATACACATTTGACCCTGTGGTCATACATACACACATATGACCCTGTGGTTATACATACACACATGACCTTGTGGTGTTATACATACACACTCGTATGACCTGTGGTTATATACATACACACATATGACCCTGTGGTGTTATACATACACACATGTATGACTTGTGGTTATAGACACACACGTATATGACCTATGGTTATATACATACACACATACACATATGACCCTGTGGTTATGCACATGCACACACATGACCCTGTAGTGTTTTATACACACACACACGCACACAGATATACATATCTACAGGCTCTGTTACATGCTTCCTCAAGCAATCTGTTTCATTATTGTCATTATATTAGCCTCTAGCTCTTGCCAAGGCATCAAACTGCACAGCACTTCCTGAACGCCCCGTGCAAGGCTGCGAGGTGTGCCCGTTTACTCCCGCGCTGCATCCATCATTCCCCTCAAGCCGGCTTCGCTGTTGCCAAGATGCCAGGCACACGCCTGCGCCAGGCCTTCACTTGGTTTTCTCGCCCAAGACGCTCTTCCTCTTGCTGTGACTTGTCCCCTCCTATTTGGGTTTCCTCCTTTGGACAAAAAGCAAGCCTTGAACACGAAGGGTCACACACACCCTTTATTCTCTCCTGCCCCTCCATCTTTCATTTACAGCCCCCATCGCCGCCTGGCAGGGATCTGTGAGTGGACCTGTTCACTGTCTGTCTTTCCCCCACCGGACAGAAGCTCCGAGAGCCAGGACTCTTCACTGAGGTAGCCCCGGCACGCACAGCAGCGCCAGGAGAGCAACAAAGGCGTCTCAAACCAAAGGCTGAGCCCCGTGAGGCTCAGCCGCGGCACCACCCAAGAGCTGTCACAGCCTTGGTCACAGAAGTCACTGATTCTGTAATGGGAGGGCGCGTGTGAGGAGGGACTGGCAGGAGTCCAGCGACACAGCAGAGGAAACGGCAGGGCCTCGCCCAGCAGACAGAACGACGAGGGCACAGCAGGTAAGAGCGTGGCAGCCAGGAGGAAAGCGTACTGAGCTGCACTGGGTAGATGCCCACGTGGTCGCATACCCACTGTGGGGTTAACCACCGACGTGGGCCTCACAGCCTAGATCAGCAGACCCGCTCGCTGCAGACACCCAAAACCACCAGAATATTTGGTCCTCAGCCTGGGGGCGGCAGCACTGAGATGTGAGAGACACCTCCAGCACAGTTAAAAGGCAGCCGCGGTGGGGCCGAGGAAGTTCCGCTGGGCTCCAGTGTGTGCCGCTGGGCGGAGAGGAATCTGGGTTCCAGTGTGTGCCGCTGGGCGGAGAGGAATCCTTCTGCCCACCGAGAGGCTGTTGCTGTGGCTCCTGCTGCTTCCAGGCTTTGGGATCTGAAAACATCCCGAGAGCAGAGTCAGAATTCAGGGCTGCAACAGAAGTACTGAGAAGGGGCCCAGTGCTTCAGCTGCGATCACAGGGGGTCCTGCGTACTTCTGGGCAGCCATAGCCATTGCCATCTTGCAAGTGCGAAGTATTTAAAAGCTTGATAACCCATATTTTTAAAAAGATTTATTTATTTATTTGGAAGGCAAAATTAGAGAGGTAGAAGCAGAGGGGGGGGGGCATCCTTCTGTTGGCTCATTCCTCAAATGGCCACGTGGAAGCCAGGAGCGTCATCCGGGTCTCCCACATGGGTGTAGGGGCCCTAGGACTTGGGCCTCCTTCTGCTGCTTTCCCAGGCGAATTAGCAGGGAGCTGGATCGGAAGCGGAGCAATCAAGAAACCAACGGGCTGTCTACACCGGATGCGGACGGTTTAACGCACTGAGCCACAGGGCAGGCTGGAGGACCTCTTATCGAAACTAAATAATCGGATATTACTCCTGAACTCCCGCAACTCCGTCCGCTCACCTGATAGGCTGCAGAGCAACTGCTGACACGGGGGTGCGGGTGGGGGGAGTCGGTATTTATTGCAAATCGCACAGCGTGGAGCCAGGCCGCTCCCTCTGACGTCCCAGGCTGCCTGAGGGGCTCCGGGCAAAGGGTCTTACAGACTAAAGCTGGGGCTACAGGTGCGTGCTCAGCGCACGGCAGGTCCCTGGCTGCTCTGCAGTACCGAGTTTGGGACTTTTCTGTGATGGCAAATCCTTCAAAAATAAAACAAACGAGGGCACAGTGGGCTAGTGGGCCTGGCATCACGACGTCGCCCGTGGAGGGCGGCCCGGGCGCTACAGCCTCAACTCAGCCCATTTCAGTAAACCCAGGGGAGGCCGGGACCCGGCGGGGTCTGCTTGGGGCTCGGCTTCTCTCACCGCGACACGCGACACCCACGACCACACACGCCCGGCAGGGACACGCAAAGCGAACACGCTGCCCAAGGCCCAGTTTCCAGAGGGCGCCGCCGAGGGGAGCCGCGCGTCAGACTGGCCGGCGCCTCCGGACGCCAAAGACCCCGGCGGGCGGGGGCTGACCGACCGCGAGGCGCTCGGGGCGCCGGCCCCGCACCAGGCACGCTCTCCTCGGACTCGGGGGAAGTCTGCGGGACCACAGAACGGCAACGCCCTTCACGCTCCGCCCTGAACAACGCAACCCTCCACGCGCTCCAGTTCTCTCCTCTGCGCCCAGCCGCGACCCCCGCGCCGCACCCACCGGCTCTGCCGCGCATGCTCCGCCCCGCCCACTGCGGCCGGGCTCGGCCAATCGCGGGCGCCGCCGGAAGTGAGCATGACGTCACTGCGGGCCCGCCAGTCCGCTTCCGGCGCGCGGAGCGCCGTGGGAGTGGTGCTGGGAGGCCCACGCTCGGGGGGCTTTTCGCGCCCGGTGGCAGCCGAGGCCGGGTCGTTCTCGGGGCTCCTTGCAGACCGCAGGGTCAGAATTTCCCGCCTCGCGCCAGCACCGCCTCGAAAGGTCAGGGCTCGCCCACTCTTCTCCGGTGCCGCCGACCTAACCTTTGAGGTGCTGCCGAGTGGAAATTCTCAGTGTCGCGGGACCTCCGGGGGGGGGTCCTGACCCAGCTTTTGTGGGGTGTCGAGAAGTACGTTGTTAGTGCCCCCCAAGTCTGGTTTAAGTCCCACCTCTCCGGTGAGGCTGGAACGCAGGTGCCTCGTCCGGTGAAACGAGTGAGGTACCAGAGCTAAGATTAGGATTAGAAGTTGGTTAAAAAAACACGAAAGCGTTAACGTGTAGCAATATTCAGAGTAGAATACTGAGTGGTTCCTGAGCACCTGCCGGGGGTCGGGCAGCGACACGCGGGAGGGGTCCACGGGCTTCACAGGGCCAGAAAATGCCCGGAGGCAAAGTGCTGCCCGTGAAATCAAGGGGCAGGCGCACGGACGTGCCGCAGCCTGACTTAGGCCTGGGGCCGGGGGTCGGGGTGACCCCGGTGGTTCTGGGGGCAGCCGGGCCTCGGAACCGGGAGGAGGCTGTGGGTGGCAGCGGCCAGCCCGCTGTCGGGTGCTGAGCGTCTGAAATGTGATTGCCGCGGACCCTGATTCCTTAACCCAGGGTAGTTTGTGCGTCTCGCAGCAGGCAGACTGGAGGGAGTGGGCGGCCCGGGCGCTTCTGCCTGGAAACGGGCTGAGCCATGAGCTGTCCTCATTGCCGGGACTCAAGCAACGCTTCTTGGTACGTGGTCTGAATTTCTTGACTTAGTCCTAGACACGTGTGTTGAGAAATCTGTGTGAACTGTAAGGAGAGTCAGAAGTGCTAATTACCTGGTAGTGAGGAAGAATTTCGGGTGGGCGGAGTGTGAAGCCTGGGTCAGGGTCTCTGGGCTGGACCAAGCCTGCGGGGACTCGAGTCCTCGCACCCGGCTGGACCTGTCTTCACCTCTGAATCGACAGTTACCGTAATACCTGCCGGACAGCCAGCACACAGCGGCTGAAGCCCAGTTACCGTAATACCTGCCGGACGGCCAGCGCACAGCGGCTGAAGCCCAGTTACCGTAATACCTGCCGGACGGCCAGCGCACAGCGGCTGAAGCCCAGTTACCGTAATACCTGCCGGACGGCCAGCGCACAGCAGCTGAAGGCAGTAGGCAAGATGACAATTATTAGCATGCTCTTTGAAAAAAGAAAGGGCCTGGTATCGTAGCGCAGAGAGAAGTGGATAGCCCGTACGGGTGCAGGTTCAAGTCCCCGCTGCTCCATGTTGATCCAGCACCTTGCTAATGTGCATGGGAAAGCAGCAGAGATGGCCCAAGTGCCTGGGGCCCCGCACCCGCGCGGGAGACCAACATGGAGGACCAGGCTTCTGGCTTTGGCCTGGCCCAGCTGGCCATTGCAGCCATTGGGGGCGTGAACCAGTGGATGGAAGATAATCAGTCTCTCTAATTCTGCCTTAAAAATAAATAATTTTTTTTAAAAAAAATACTGAGATAGTTAGCAGAAGAAATAAGTTAGAGTTGGAAATATTTGCTCTGGGCACCAGCTGAGCCGTGTCAGTTTGCTGCCGCTGGGCAACACAGGCTTCACTGTGAGGTGCCGTTCGCCATGGCCGCTCTGCTCCAGGTCGCTGGCCGTGCAGGTTGGCTGGGGCAGCTTTGTTCCCCGAGTGTCCTTCTTCAACTCGGGTGGAGAGGCTGCTCCGGCTGCCGTGGGCGAAACTCTCGCTACGGCAACTCGGAACCAGGAGGGCAGGCCTGATCAGCAGGTCAGTACTTTCCCAGGCCGTGGCAGGCCTCTGTGAAGGTTCCACTGGCCAGCAGGAGGGACGCAGGTTCTGAAACACAAGTGGTGGGACTGTACTGAGTGTTCGAGGGCTGGGTGTGTGGCACACCAGGTTAAGCAACCCCTGGGGATGCCTGTATCCCCACTGGAGCTCTGTTTAAGTCCGGCTCTTCCACTGCTCCGGCTCCCTGCTGGTTTGCCTGGGAAGCAGTGGATAATGGCTCAGCCCGAGCTCCTGGCAGACATGTGGGAGACCAAGAGGGCTCCTGACTTCAGCCTGGGACAGCCCAGGCTATTACAGCCATTTGAGATGTGAATCTTGCAGATAGGATATCTGTCTCCCAGTCTTTCTGTCTCCGTCACTTTGTCTTTCCAATAAATAATGTCTCTAAAGAAAATCTGTCTGGGGCCAGCATTCTGGTGTAGTGGGTAAAGCCACCACCCGTCATGTTGGCATTCCACATGGGCGCTGGTTCCCAACCTGGCTGCTCCACGTCTGATCCGGCTCCCTGCTAATGCACCTGGGAGAGTGGTGGAGCATGGCCCAAGTGCTAGGGGCCCTGCACCCACATGGGCGACCTGAAGAAGCTCATGACTCCTGGCTTCAGTCTGGCCCAGTCCTGGCCATTGCAGCCATTCGGGGAGTAAACCAGAAGATGAAAGATATTCTCTCTCTCTGTCTCTGTCTCTTCCTCTCTGTGTAACTCTTTCAAATAAATAAATAAATCTTAAAAAAAAAAAAAAGAAGTATCTGTCTTTTAGAGCCCAGTAGGGGACTGTAGTTCACAATAACCTACTGTGTGTTTTATGAGTAATGAGACTGGATGACCTGGAAGGTTCAAAACAGACAGAATGGAAATGTGATTACACTGGTTTTATCAGTGCACACTGAACATGTACTGGAACACCTCTCTGTACAACATAAATATGTACAGTATGACATGTTAGAAGAATTTTAAGAACATTTCAAGAGCTAAAACAAGATCAAACCCAAAGTTAAACAACAGGAAGCACACTTCACCCATGCAGATGGGAGGGAAAAGAGTGACTATTTCTGAAAAATAATTCAGTCTACCACATGCAATGATTGGAGTTTTAAAAGTACATGTAACATATCCGTTTGATGAAAGAGTGTGTGGCCTAGTGGTCGGACACTTGGTGTCTGCATCCCACAGGGGTGCCTGGGTGTGATGCCTGGCTCCTGACTGCTGCAGATGCAGGCCCCGGTAGGCACCAGGTGATGGACCAGATCCTCGGGTTCCTGTCACCGACATGTGAGTTCCTGGCTCAGTCCCGGCTGCTGCGGGCATTCGGGGAGTGAACTAGCAGATGGGAACGCTCTGTTTTCTGTATGTCTCAAAATAATAATCATTTCAAAAGCAATACTGACCCCGATCCATTGCAGACCTGACGGTGATGCCGGTATCTCAGGAGTGTAAACTCTGGTTTGTTCTGCTCCCTGCTGAGCCGTCTGTACTGTGCTGTGGCTGTTTCCTGCCCCAGCAGACCACTACCCTAAACCCCCTTAAGGGTTTACTATGGGGAACGACAGATTTTCCTTCCATCTGCCTAAAACCTTTCGAGTTTTTGTAGCATTGATTTATTTTTTTATTTATTTTATTTTTTTATTATTATTTTTTTTACAGGCAGAGTGGACAGTGAGTGAGAGAGACAGAGAGAAAGGTCTTGCTTTTGCCATTGGTTCACCCTCCAATGGCCGCCACAGCTGGCGCGCCGTGCTGATCTGAAGGCAGGAGCCAGGTGCTTCTCCTGGTCTCCCATGGGGTGCAGGGCCCAAGCACTTGGGCCATCCTCCACTGCACTCCCTGGCCACAGCAGAGAGCTGGCCTGGAAGAGGGGCAACCGGGATAGAATCCGGCGCCCCTACCGGGATTAGAACCCGGTGTGCCGGCGCTGCAAGGTGGAGGATTAGCCTAGTGAGCCGCGGCGCCGGCTGTAGGATTGATTTATTTAATTTGAAAACTCAATTTTCTTAGACATTTAATTTGAAAAAATATTTTGAGATTCCCCATTTGCTGGTCCTCTTCCCAAATAGCCATGGCTCCAGAAGCCTGGGCTGGGTCAGGCTGAAGCCGGGAGACTCCATCCAGGTCTCCTATAAGGGTGGCAAGAACTTGGGCCCTCCCGTGCTGATTCGCATTAGCAGGAAGCCAGAATCGAGCAGAGCTGGGATTCGAACCCAAGCACTCCTGAAATGGGGATCCCAAGTGGCATCTTTAAAAAAAAAATCATTTATTATGTTTGAAAGGCAGAGTTACAGAGAAAGAAGGAGAGAAAGAGAGATCTCACCTGCTGGATCTCTTCAAGTGGCTGCAGCAGCTGGGGCTGTGTCAGAGCAGAGCCAGGAGCTTCTTCCCAGTCTCCCACGCGGGTGCAGGGGCCCGAGGACTCGGGCCATCTTCCACTGCTTTCCCAGGCCATAACAGAGAGCTGGATGGGAAGTGGAGCAGCCTTGGGGCTTGCGCTGTGGCATAGCGGGTAAAGCCGCAGCCTGCAGTGCCGACATCCCATATGGGCATAGATTAGAGACCCGGCTGCCCCACTTCCGATCCAGCTCTCTGCAGTGATGGGAAAGCAGCAGTAGAAGATGGCCCAAGTGCTTGGGCCCCTGCACCCGCGTGGGAGACTGGGAAGAAGCTCCTGGCTCCTGGCTTCAGATCGGAGCAGCTCCAGCCGTTGGGGAGTGAACCAATGGATGGAAGACCTCTCTCTGCCTCCCTCTCTCTGTGTATCTCTGACTTTCAAATAAATAAATCAACCTTAAAGAAAAAAGAAGTGGAGCAGCCTGGACTCAAACCGGTGCCCATAGAAGATGTAGGGTCGCAGCCCGTGGCTTCCACTCCCTGAGTGGCATCTTCACCACTGCACCAAACGCCTGCCACACTGTTAACAATTTTTTTTATTAAACATTTTCACTGCATTGTAAGGATCAAACGGAATACATGGATTTTTTGTAAGCTAACAGTTATTTCTTGAAAATAAACATGATTTTAATATCTAAATTGAAACCTTACAGAAACGCCGACATACTTAGAACATCGCTTGATCGTTATTCTAGAACACGGAGTTGGGCAATGTATTCCCCCACCGGGGGCTCTGCCCTCCAGTCACTCTTGTCGGTGGGAATCCGAGGTGGGCTCGGTGGGCATCACAGCCCCGAGGCCAGGCTCCTCACGGTGCCCCTGGCCTTGGCCCTTACAGCACCGGCGGGCCTCGGGGTCCCGGGACCGCACCGGGGAAGCGGTCCACGCGGCTGAGGCCCCACTTCCCACGGTCAGTTCCCCAGGGCTGCTTCCGAAACGGACCCCCAGGCTGCATTTCGGACGCGGGCGAGGGTCCTGCCGTCCTCCCTCCCTCGGGCTGTGGCCTCCTTCCCCCCACACGCACGTGCGGGGTTACACCGCGCCCTGATCCACCTGTCGTCGGGGTGCGGGCGAGGTGCGGGGCAGCGCAGGACAGCCCACTGGGCCGCCCCGCGGGCGTCGCACCCACAGGCACGGCCGCGCAGCGCACCCGCCCGCCGTCTCGGCTGAAACCCACATTTTAAAACCCTACACGACCCCATTCCGTGCTTGTTGGATTGACAGCCGCGACATCAGCTCCGCCGGGGAGACACCATGACGTCACTGCGCGTGAACGAAGCGCCACTCGGGGTCGCGGGCCCCCGCAGGGGCGAGCCCGGGAAAGAGAACCACAGACTACGAGAACGCCGGCCTAAGGCGCGCCGCAGCCGCCCCGAGGCGCGGGACGGCGCCACCTTGCAGCGCGCACAGCGCGAGGTGACCCCGGCCGGGGCGGGCAGGGCCGTGCCATCCGCAGCAGGGGGGCGGCGTGCGGAGCGGACGAGACGGAACCCCCCCGTCGCCGTCAGGATGGACTCGGCCGGATGTGACGCAGGGCGACGTAGGCTTGCGCGTTGCGGGGCGCAGGGGCGGGGCCCGGCGAACGTGCGTGCGCGCGTGCGCGTACTTGCGTCTGCCTGAGGTGGGCTCGGGGTGAGTGGTCCGCGGCGTCGCGTCTGCAGGAAGAGGCACCGGGTGCGGGCCGGGCGCGGGAGGGCGCGGGAGGGCGCGGGAGGGCGCGGGAGGGCGCGGGAGGGCGCGGCGTTGCTGCCGGGGACGCCGGGGCGGACGCAGCACCGCGTCCCGGCCGCCGGGAGGCCGCAGTGTCCACGCCGAGCACCTCCGCAGTGCGGGGGTCGTTAGCCCCGCGGT